TCTAGTGGTAACAATCGATATGCCTAACCCAAATGACTGTATGTTTGAGAATCTTGCTGAACAAACCTTGCTTTTACCACCAAATACAAGTAGGCCTCCTGGAAGACCAAGGACTAAACGGCAAGATTCACAATTCCATAACAAAAAAGTCTACCATTGCACCAGATGCCGCCAACTTGGACACACAAGGAGGACTTGTAAAAATCCTAACCCATTTTGAAGTTAATTTCCACAAGAGACAACTAATTTTTGGGTGCATATACGCTCCACCCTTCTTAATTTTTTTGGGAGAAGGGTGTTGCTAGATTTGCATAGCTACACAGCTATTTTTGCAAGTAATATGTTTGCTGACAAGGGAAAATGAAGTCTACGATATTGTTAATGTCCTTTTGTTATTGACTATTGTAAAATCTGGTTGCTGTAAACGGACCTCTGACTTTTTGTTAAATGACATTGTATTGCTGTAAATTCCCTTAGTTGTATTGTAAATGCAGACTGCTTACTTGTTATATCAGCAAATTGAGGTTGTTGTCAAATGACCTGTGCTTTGTGGTTATTTGACTTAGTATTGCTATAAATTCCCTTGGTTGTATTGTTAATGCAGACTGCTTACTTGTTATGTCAGAAAATTGAGGTTGCTGTCAAACCACCTCTGCTTTGTGGTTATTTGGCATACTGATGTTGTCAATTGGTTAACCAAACTTGTTATTTCACAAACTGAAGTTGTCACTAGGTAAATAAAAGTGGAAAGACTGTCATTTTAACAAGAAAAAATGAACTTCACCAATTCCACTTTCGTAGTTTTTATTTCAAATAGTGAAGTTGTCACTGGGTAAACAAAAGTAGAAATATTGTCATTTAAACAGGAAAAAAATGAACTTCACCAATTCCACTTCTGAAGTTGTTATTTCACAAACTGAAGTTGTCAAACAAAAGTGGAAATACTGTCATTTTAAATAAGAAAAAATGAACTGCACCAATTCCACTTCCGAAGTTGTTATTTCACAAATTAAAGTTGTCACTCATTAAACAATAGTGGAAATAGTATAACTTCATTAGAAAAAATTGGAGTTCATGTATCGCTTAACCGGAGTTGTTATTTAGCATACTGAAGTTGTCAGATGTTAAACAAAAGTGGAAATAGTGTCATTTTATTAAAAAGAAAAAAGGTACTTCATGTATTGCTTAACGGACTTGTTATTTAGCATACTGATGTTGTCATACATTAAAAAAAAGTGGAAATAGCATCACTTCAACACAATTTAAATTATGTCAATAAAAATGTCATTTCACCATTACATAATTGTCATAACTGGGTAGCAGTTAGGCCAGACAACAAGTTCACTACACATAATGATAATGCAGTAACATTATCTATAGTCAATGTCCTTTATGGCCCAAATTCTTTCTCTATAGGGACTTTCTCCTCCTTTTGGACGTTCGCCCCTTCTATGGATGTGGAATAAGATTCAGCACATCCTCACAGCATTCATTGTTATCATGGTTCACCAGCCACCATATCATATCACACTGAAAAGCTGCCACTTCTCCCTACAAAACAGATTCAACAGCAAGTTAATCTCATTTTGCCCCTTTACCAGTTACAACAATTAAGATAACCACATCACCTGGGTGTATTCTAGTGGAACATTGGGTTCCCATCTGCTGAGTCATATTAGGACATGAACCCCACAGTCCCTCCTGGGAACAACACCACCATCACAGTTTAACAATTTGAGAATAAATATAGGAAATCAGCAAATTACATGTGCAATGTATGTATACTCTCGAGTTACTCTATTGAGGTACATTAGGCCGCACAATTTCCAAATTTGGCATTTTCTCAGTCAAATCTGGCCTAACCATGCCGATAATGTCACGGAACCTTTCTCTTTACTCATATATCAGATATTCATCAACATCACTATAATTTCATATAGTAATAATACAATGTAATATGCCCAGGTGATTCTTACACATCCTACTATGGCCATTTTCTGAGGGTCATAGGTAACTACTTGCTTCTTCTTAGTTGTGGTCTTCTTAGGCTGAACAGTTTCTTGCATGGAATCCAGGACATAGAACTTCATAGTGTTAGGTTCAAAGGCAAAGCAAAACCAGTGCTTACCAACAAGTGCAGGACCCATAACCAAGTCACAGTCACCTATGTTGTACCCGACAAAGTGAGGAATTATTTGTCGTGCATGGTAGTTAGGGTCCCACTGAGCTGGGTCACAGATCATTAACTCTTGATAAAGAACACAAATTGATTTTGTCAGTTTGTAATTATTTTCTTTAAACAGTTATTTGCCTTAACAGTGTTGTTACTTCATATAATACACTTGTCATTTGCCTTTGAGGACTTGTAATTTTCATATCCAAACTTATCATTTCACAAACTAATGAAGAAACCTCACCATGAAGTCTGTATCAAAAATATGCCTCCTTATTCGTCCTTCCACAGCCTGTTGCTCATCCACCACAGCCTTACAAACTAATGACATGACCCTGTTACTAACTTTGTTATTTTCCCCAAGACAATGCAGTAAGCGTCGGGTGATGTCTTCATCATATATTTTAATCAAAGGATTGAAAATGGTTGAAGTGAGTTAGCATATGGGTTATGTTAACATGTGATAACAAAACCCCATCAGAAAAGTTGAGTATCACAATACTTACTAGTCTCCTTCATCACCTTTCACACTTCGGCTGATAATGGTGAAGAAAATATCTGTATCCTCCGTGGGCCTCTTCAACCTTGTTTGTACCTTCAACTCCAACCAAGGAGACTTAATTTTGCTGAAGCGAACCCTGTTAGATCTCCTTACTTGTTGTGCCTGCACACCTTCAGCTGTTGTCATAGGTGCCACCATGATAGGGGTTTGGCTCTCAACAGGGTCAACATATTTGACAATTGGTAGGGGGATATAGTTATGGCTGTGTCACCCTACGCATCATCACCTTCAACATTGGATGACAGGTTTATGGGGGTAGTAGGCGTGGGTATGTCACCCTTGATTTCATCATTGTCCTTCTGTGCACTCTATCCCTCATCCTTGTCCTGACTATCTTCATCATTCTCTCCATCATCCTTTTCCTTGTGTTCCTCCTTACTTGTCCCATCATCACTCCCCCCGTCACCCTTCTCCTTGTCCTCCTCCTCCTCCTCACTTGTCTCATCATCACTCCCTCTATCATCTTTCTCCTTCTCCTTCTCCTTCTCCTCACTACTCTCACTATCACTCCCTCTATCATTCTTCTACATAGCTTCACTAGTCTCACCAACATGCTGTCTCTCCTCATCATCATCATCATCTTCAAACCCACTAACAGTTGATGCAAGTGTCTCAGCAGGAGCCTTTCCTTTTCTCTTCCCATTTGTCTCTCTTGGAATGTACACCTTCAACAGCTCCTCGTCTACCATATTCATCAACCTCTGATGGCTTTCTTCTATCCTCTTCATTAATCATGCATGTAACTACTTCAGCTTCTGCATGACAATGGCGTTTATCAATTTACTAGCAACATAATTATACCACATCATGATCTCACTATTGTAGATGACAAGCTCACTTTACCCAGTGACAAGTTAGCTATTATAAATAACAACTTCAGTCTATGAAATTACAAGCTTACTACACTATAACAAATAACAACCTCTCACTATTACGAATAACAAGTTCATCAGTAGTATAAATAACAACTTTACTATATCAAATGACTAGTTCAGTTAGCCAATCACAACTGATAAATTATAATTAGCAACTTCGGTACATCAAATAACAACTACACTGTAACAAATGACAGGTTCACTTGACCCCATCACAACTCAGGTATAATCAATAACAACTTTATCAAATAACAACCCAAACCTAAACTTTACCGAATGACAAGTTCATATTATCCAATCACAACTTTGGTACCATTTTTAACAGGTTAAGTTTATCAAGTAACAATGTCAACTATAACAAATGACAACTTCACTTAACCTAATCACGATGTAAGTTTTGTATATACCAAGTTCAGTTTATCGAATGACAACATAACTATCACAAACAAAAAGTTCACTTTACCAAGAATATCGCTCTACCAAAGATATACATACCAGGTCCAGAGAGTCAACATTTATCCTCTTGTCTTTGCCAGACACAGCATCACTCCCTTTCTCACCATACAACAGCCCCCTGATGCTCTTTCTCTCAGTATTTGCCAATTCTTTGATCTTCTCATTTGTCCAGTATTGGATAGCACTGGTGGAGCCTCATTATGAACCTTGGATGAGGTTAAAATGCTCACCAAAAAAAAGCTACAACACCACATATCATCACCAATTACATTGTTCATATTGCCAATAAAGTATTACACAGTGAGAAACAAAATAGTCATACCAGAAGCAAGTATATGTAGCCACTAACAGTACTACTCCCCTACCCATCATTACCCTATCTATACAGCTTCACAAAGTTGGCCATTTCTTTCTATAAGTCCTCCATAATATGTGTTGTCCAATCATACTTTTCAAAGTCATCCATCATGGAACGTATGACTCTCACCAGCCTCTCACTCACTTCTAAGCTAGATGACAAACATAGAAAGGTACCCAACGTGTATAGGACAAACAATAATTCAAATATGTGATCTTCCTCCTCAGAAATAATGTCATCCAGTATTTTACTGAATGGCACTCTCCGATACTGATTTTTCAAGTTCTTGTACATTTCATCATCCTCTGAAACTTCAATTTTAATCTTCTCCCCACCATGGCGTATTCCTAGGAGATTCTCAACATGTTTTGCTCCTATTTCCTCAGTTTTTCCTCGGATTGTAAATTGATGCATTGGTAGGTCATATGATCTTTAGCATAGTCACAATGAGATCATGGGGGAGTCTCTTCAATCCTACCTTCAACAAGCTTCCAATCCTATCCTCTCCACCCTATCCCTTAACTCATCATTATTATTCACAAAGTACAGTAATTTCTTAAAACCTTTCAAGGACACTCAGGTTAAAAATGATGGTACATATTTCTTTGTTTTCTCCTCTTCAATCTTTTCTGGCCTTCTTTTCTTCACCTCCTCTGTGTACCTCTTCCTCTCCTCATCAGACAAAGCTCTCCATGCCCTTGACACAACATCTCTTTTTTGTTTGCCTCTAATATCACTGTTACCTAATGTCGCCAAATACTCCCTTCTGAATAGCAACCAGCCATTGTGTGCCGGCTTTGATCCGGAGGCTCCCTCAGATGCCATGTCCTTTTTCCTGCAAAATATTCAACATACAATAGTTCACTAACACAACTTATTAACTGACTACACTACCAGAAAAAAGGCTTTTAACGGTGATTAAAAATGGCTTTTAACGGCGGTTTTGAAGGCGAAGTTGTTAAAGGCGACGTTGAAAGGTAAGGAAAACACGGCCTTTTTTAACCGCCGTGAAAAGTGACTTTCCATGGAGGTTTATGAATAAAATGCCGTGGAAAAGGGTTTTAACGGCGGTTATATATATAACCGCCGTTAAAAATGCTTTTTTTTTTAAATTCTGCTTTATTTTCTACCACCCTGCAGTTTACAGTTCCAAACAAATGTAGGCAGTGCAGATCACGCAGAACAAGATCAATTTAGCTAGTTAATATACAGCAATGAAATTTTTTTTTACACAATTCGAAAATAGGGAAACCGGCCAATATAATAGAACTAAGTGGTTACCAAGGAACACGTATTGGCTAGGTCTAACAATTCTGAAATAGAAGTAACTACTTCTCTGTACAATGGAAATCATGAACAATATAAGAGGGAACCGAGAGAAAGCATCTAACAATGAATTTTTTGAGAAATAACCTATCTATTTAAAAGCTAAATTTCAATTTTTTCTACCAATGTTGTTAACAAAGTGTCCCTCATCAAGTTGATGTCATCCATGAGATATGGCGCAGTATTTTGAAATATCTGTTAATCAAAAATAACATAGTAAACTTAGTCAAAAATGTGAAATAAATTGAAGAACATCATGTAAGGTAACTCATCTTTACCTCGTCTAATTTCTCAGTCGTTCCTGTCTCAATTATGTCATTCATGTAGCGGATGACATAATATCCACACTCAACATGTCCTTGTTGACAACGGTACTAAAAAAATAAGATATAAAATTGAATATTAGACATTATTGATTATAAACATTAACTTTAATTCATCCAAAAATGTTTAAAAGTTAGTTCAAAACAACATATACCTGTGGAAGAATCCATGTTGGTGCTTGTCTATTTTGTTTAATCACCACGACATTAAAATCATTTCTTGTCTTCAAATTCATCAGTTTCAATACGGTTGTCAATCTTGTGTAATCATCTTTGCACCCCGGGTATAAAGGTGTCTCTGCATCACTACACAAAGTTTCAAAGGTGGAAGAAAACTGTGTAGAGGATTCAGACCTTATATCACGAAACATATCCGAAATTCTATTACCAAAGTCTTCATTCACAACCTTCTCATTTGCAGACAGTGTAGTCTTTCTAATTTCTCCATGCCATATCCAATTTGTATACCTCAAATTTATCCCATCACATATAAGATGCTCTTTTATCTCAAAAATACTCTGTCGACTATTGTTTAAACATTTGACACAAGGACAATAGTACAATCCATCTCTTTTACTAGGGGCATTTCTCTGAGCAAACTCAAGAAACTTTTCAACCCCATCCTCATATTCCTTGCTAATTCTCTTAGCTTTCATCCAACTACGATCCATTGTTCTACAGATTATTTAAACAATACTTTACTATCAATCAAAATTCATAACGAAGGAAAAAAAACACAAAATAACTAATAGATTATTTATCACTAAATTCTTATATTTATTACAAAAAAATTATCAAAAATTCGAAATAAATATCAAAAAATTATAAAAAAATTTAAAAACTTCACAACTAATCAACTCCAAACATTTAAACATATTTCTAATACAGTATATAAAAAGGAATTAAGGTTTTCTCACATCTAATGCCTACCAATTAACACCAATCAACCGTTCAACCACATAAAAAATGCAAAATGAACAATACAAGCCAACCACAATGTAAAACTAACAACCCCATTTCATATATAACAGATTTTCATGGCTAAAACATTCAACAAACCAAGAAAAATTGAAAAGAATGAAAGAAGAGGATACTCACAGAGCAGAGAAGCTTCAAACGCGAAGTGAGGCGGCGGCGGACGGCGGCAACGCACCGATTTTCGGTTAGATAGTGGGGGGTAGGACCGGTTTTCTGTGGTGGACCACGGCTGAGCAAGAACGGACAAAAATGGAGGCGGTTGACTGCAAGAACGGACCACAGCGGATTGCGGCACACGGCGGCAAGGCTCCAAGAGCTAAATGAAGGAGTTTAAATGGTGGGATAGTGGCGGGAATGGCAGTTTTACGATGGTGGGGCAGAGGGGGACCACGGCGGACTAAAGAAATGAGAAAGAAAGTGAAGAAGGTCGAGCGGCTGCGGGGGTTTGAAGACACACTTTCCACGACGGTTTTCTTAAAACCGCTGTGGAAAGTCATTCCCTCTTCAACTTATTTACAAAAATGCCACCGCATTTTTTTCCACTTCGTTTTTCTGTTGAACCGCCGTTAGTGTGTGACGTTAAATGTCTTTTTTCTAGTAGTGCTAACAACAATTCTGTCAACACTCGTTCTGTCAATCAAACGCGTATGATAAACTTGTTATTCTCTCTACAAAAGTTGTCAATTCTTTAAGCTCAATTTGTTATTCCCATATACTTATCATAATTGTTATTTCTGATCATACACTAGTCATTTAACTTGTCATTTGAAATGATAAACTTGTCAAATTGTCATACTCAGCTTTGTTATTTAAACAGGTCATTTCCTAGTATCAAATTCCTACTTCCGCATACAAATCTTGTTATTCACTATTATAACCTTGTTATTTCCTATTACCAACTTGTCAATTTCGCATTGACATCTTCTTATTCCCAATTAATCAACTTGTCATTTGCTATTCTTAAATTGTTATTTTCATTACTGAACTTGTCAAATCCCACTGTCCACCTTCTCATTTACAACAAAACACACTTAGTACCTTTTCAATTCAATTTACCCTTGACCACATCCTATGTCGTTATTTTCCCTACTATTATTGTCATCTACGAAACTGATGTTGTCATTCCCTCCCCCACACAAATACTATTGCCACAGGTTATTTAACAGAAAAAACCTATATTTTTCACAATAAAACATTCTTCATCACTCAATCAAAATTTGGGTACTTCTACTTTCCTACCCTAAACTCTTTTATTCTCACTAATGATTCGCACATTCTTGTAGCAACCAATCCAAACAAAATTAGCCAGCAAACTTACGACAATCAGTCACCTAACGTAGCTGCTAACTCTGATCACCTAGAGTGATTGCTGCCACACTGTTCAATGATGCCTTCGACTTCTCGGAACCTTTCCACAATGCCGATAAACCACATCTTTGTTCACCTCTGTCATAGCAAATATGCTCTTCATGGTTGCAACACTCCTCTCCACACTACTCTTACAGCAAAATGGGGGTAAGCAGGTGTGCAAAAATGGAGACAATGGGGAGAATGCAGAGAACAGTGGAAATTTGTTGATAGTGGGGGGACTATGTGCCACGGTTTCAGCTGGTTCAAATCACTGAAGGGCAATTTCGTCTTTTCACCAGCATTTGCTATTTGCAATTTGAGACCGGGTCTCTCATGGTAATTTTTGCTTATTCAGGTGATCATATAGTAATTTTGCTAATTCAATGGTTTTTATTTCTGATTTTCCCAAACTTAAACCTATGTATGCCAATTTTTACCAACTAGTGTTGAAAAAGTTTGACCAAATTAAAACAAGGAGAATAAACCTCTTCACTTTCCACACTAATTGTTGTTATAACAGGTGTAGAAAACATATTCTATATATACATCAGTTTCTTTCGCAACCGAGGTAAAAAAGTTAACAACATCCTTCTTATTTATGAAAATACTCTCATATTTTTAACACTATCTCTTAGAATCTTACGTAGAAAGGTGATAGGAATTTAGAGGGTAATTATGTGAAATATCTTGCATGGCATGCAACATCTAAGGAGCACATATGGAAGAAGACAAATAAAATATCTTGTATGAGAGGGCTTTCCAATTAATTCATTTTATTTTTATTTTTATGCAATTTTATTATTTAAAGTAGTCATTTTTGTATTTAGTAAATTATTAGGAAGGTTTGATATATTAGGTATATCATTTTAGAAATATGAGTTGCTAAATAGGAATCTCAAGGATATTATCTAATATCTTATTATTATATCCTTGATTTAAATTTGAATAGATGGCAATCTTATGCTTAGAATATTTTTAGATTTTTACATTCATTTTAATATTTAGAATCTCACTAGAGTTAGGAATTTTGTCTATTCAAAGAGTTAGAGTTGAGATTGCAAGGGTCTAATAAATTCTTTGTGGAGCTTCTTTTTTTTTTTCGTAATTCATAATATCTTCAAGTCACTTAGGACTTGAGATAAATCTCTATTGGGCCAGGGGCTCAAAGGTCAAAACTCTCCTAATAAGTGCACATCATGAGATTCAAACTTGTGTTCTCCTTTTTATGAGAATAAGACTGCTTATCATCTCAATCAACAGTTTGTTGGTTGTGGAGCCTTTTTATAGCTATTAGCTAATGATCTAGAGACAAGTTCCTCTAGGATTTTATTGATCAACTTTTTTATTTTGAAGTCCCTTTTATTTTGTATTTCTTAGGTGCTGGACGGACTTGTATCAAAAAGCCACTGTAATTTTCCCCCCCCCTAAATTGGTGTGAGTAAAAAAGTTTGCAAGGGATAAGTTATGCTCAAATAATAAACTGTAGGAAATAATTTTGTTTTCTTGTGGGGAAGGGGTGGTTGGGGTGCACTACACCCCTCTTGTTTTGTCAGGAGTTTGGATAGCACTACTTACTATAGATTTTGTTATGTTGCTTATGATGGCTTTAAATGTCTTTTAAAAAAGAACCCACATTTATTCACCAAAAAATAAAAAATAAAAAAGAACCCACATTTCAACATTTTACTTATAGAAATATAAATATTTGAACACATAATTGACTTTTAAAGTTGTCATCACCACTTAAAAATTACAAATATTTTAACAGATTATTGCCCCTAAGCCAACATTACGAGCCACCTCTTTTGCATAAGTTTCCCCACAAGACCTAGGACTAGGATGCATAGTCCGACGAGTCCACAGGTCGTGTAAGATGTAGTTAATAATATATTAAGTGATATTTGAACGGTAGAATACTCAAATTTAAATAAAAAATTATTAGATATATTTTATTTCTAATTTAATTGATGAATTATAAAATGCATCTCAATTGTCACAATATTATATATATAGTACATAATTAAAATTTAAAATGATCGGATTCTTAAATCTTAACACATGCTAAAACACATGGATTCAAATCCAAATCCAACTTCCCGTTGATAAATATTCAAATCCAAATCTGACTTCCCGTTTATAATTATTTAACGTGGTGTTAACCTCCCCTAACATAAAAGACAAATACCTAAAACTACATATAATTTTTTTAACATGAAAAATTGTCACACAAATCGATAGAGGATTCCGCGTCAAATAACCATTTCAACTTCAGAATATTTTAAAATAGGCTCAATTATACAAAACTCCCCTAAATTTTTGATCATGTGCAAATGGCCTCCTTAACCCTTGAAACTTAATAATAAATCTCCATGAGCTGTTAAGTCTAGATAGATAACTAGTATGCACTTATTGTTAATACACCAAATTAGAACTAGCAAGCTACCCTAATATGTATAGGGCTAAACTAGGTCAATCTCTTAGGAGTCCTAAATTACTTGGATTTGGTTTAATTATGGCAACGCTCTAGTTATCAGCGAAGAAGATTGGTTTATCAAATCAAAACTAAGACAATATTAAGCTACTGTTTATGAGGATTATTTTATTTTTTTTATTGAGTGAAGCAATGAAATAATATTACAATGAATTATGATAACCCCTAAAAATGAATTTTCCAACCCCTCCTAGTTCAATTATGACTATCGAGTCAGTTAGCAGTAAGTTCTTAATTAGTGCTACTCAAAATACTATTTGAGTCTAGTGAGTAATCCAATTGACAATAGTGGGCGCCACTCAGTGAGTAATTCAAATTAAGATTTATGTTAACCTCTTCATTAAGAAATTACCAACCCGTGCATTTTTGTTAAGATAACAATCCAATCACACATCAAGGCAATACAGACTTCATGTAAATATTTAATCAAATCCATTCAAATATAACTAGAAGAAGAAGTCATCACAAATTAAAATCCAAATCTTCATTACAAAATAGTCTCAAGAAACATTCAACCACACTACTAAAATTGAATTTCCTAAACCTAAAATCATAGGTCCCGTTTGGTAGGAAGTATTGAAAATGAGGGATAAGCATTGAGATTGAAATTGAGAAAAATTATTAAAAAAATATTTAGCATGAGTAATTACTTTTTACATGATATTAGACAAAGCTATGGAGGTGAGATTGGGGAATACCATCTTCCCTGTAGTATTCATTGATCCCACATATATGGGTTTATTCAATCCTATATAATAAGCAACCTCTCATACTAAATACTCTAATTTTAATAGATTTTCTCAATCGCAATCTCAATCCTTACCCCTTATTTTCAATTCATACCAAATAGGATCATATGGTTTGAAACAAGGAGGAATGAACAAAAGAGACTTCCCCTTAAATAAGATGGGTTGGAAAGCAAGGGAACCAAATACAGAAAAAGATTGAAAGCAAGAAATCCAAATAGAGAAAAATGAAGGAAAGGAAAAGTAAATATTCCTGGAAAAGAAATTGAAAATCAAATCACTCTTAATCTTCACTTGCCCAATTAATGAAAGCTGTGCGATATGCATGTGTATAGACAGGAGATTTTCATAGCTGACTACTTACCTAAACTTTCACATAGTTTAGTTGATAGTTTTTGTATCTTTAACCACCATCCACCTCTAAACCAGGATGCGGACATTGATGTGAGAAACTAGATGCTTTTGATTGGTGTGTGTAATTTACCTTTGAGCTATTAAATTAATGGATTTTAGTCTTTTTCATTAAAAAAAAAAAAGTTGTGCCACTTGCTCCTTTGTCCCCTATAAGATAAAATAAAACCAAGTGAAAGCAAATGTCCAAAGGAATTAAATGATTAAAAATTAAAACCATTAAAAATACGCAACAAAGCGAGAAAATTCCAAAATTACCTCTCTTGATACCTGGCCACAAATAATTACAATTATTAATCCAATTAAACCACGATTAGGTGCTAAGAGCCTAGAGTTAATGGGCTGAAACCATGAAAATAATGAGATATATATTAATACCCCAACTATCTATTATATACCACTTTAAACTTTATTTTTTATGTAACTTCGATCGATATGTGAATAATCTAAGTTGTTTGCAGATAAGTAACATACAAAATTAATTGTATAGGAATTATCTAGATAAATGTAAGAGTTTAGGTAGGTAAAGTTTCAAAGGGTATGTTATAGAAGTTATCTGTACAAGGTCTAAAGTTCAAGGTATATTATATACTACCTCCAATCTTAAATATAAAAAAATAGTTGGAGATTCAATTTGGTTCTAAATATAAAATCTCAATCCATTTTGTCTATCATATTTATTTATTTTTTTAAAAGTAATCTTCATAGTAATTGTACATGTTAAAAAGTTTTTATTATAATACACATGATTAACAAGATACTATAGGAAAGATAACACTCTTTGTTATAAATAACTAATTTAACTAATTTTTTTATCATTTACAAATTAGTTGTCTAGTTATTATATTAAAAATTGGAGGAAGTAGAATTTAGAAATTAAAATAGTCTTTGGATGCCTTACTTGTCCCTCGCAGCTTTCTGCTTCTTGATCCAATTCATATCATTCCTCTTCCTATAAATAGAAATCAATCTAGCATCTAAGAAATCAAACTTCTCAGCTTCTATAACTGAGTCGCTGTTTAAGTCTCTACAGCTACCAACCTATCAATGGAGAAAGGAAATTATTGCATCATCATGGTTCCACGTCCAGGCTTCAGCCATCTCATTCCACTCATTGAGTTAGCGAAACGGCTCGTCGTTCACCACCTGACTTCCATGTTATTTTCCTTATCCCCACATTTGGCCCTCCCTCATCAACCACACTTTCCATCCTCCAATCTCTCCCACCAAACATAGACTACACTATTCTTCCACAAGTCAATGAAAACAACATGCCCCCCGCTGCCATTCATCCAGCAACACACATGCATCTCACTCTGTTATATTCGATCTCTTTCTTCACTTCGTCAAGCTTTGATTTCATTGACGGATTCTCGAACCTATCACCTTGTTGCTATGATCGCTGATGTGTTCTCAGTTGATGCTTTAGAAGTTGCAAAGCAATTCAACCTCAAGACATACACTTATTGTGCTTCATCAGGTCCTTCATTAAGTTTCTTCCTCAATTTTCCCGAACTTGATAAGGATCTTGAGATTCTTTCCACTGACTTTTGTGAGCTGCAGCAGCCTGTGAAACTTCCAGGTTTCAAGCTATTTTTTGTTTCTTTGGCCACCTTGGCTATCTCTCGTACTTTTATCCTATTTTTCACTTAGGAGCACTGGGCACTTGAAAGTTTCTTTAGGTTCAAATTTATTCCAAAAGTCTAAAATCAACGTAATGTTACCTCCTATCATTGAACGGTCAACAACACTATTTTAATAGTCAACCTTAATTTAACGATAGAGGGCAATATTGCTATAATTTTAAACTTTTAGGATAAATGTAGGCCCAAAAAAATACTTTTGAATGCTTAGCACCCCTAAGTGAAAACTTCTAGATAAATTTGCACATCAACCCTTAGTAAATCAAGTTAAAAGCAATATGTATTACTATTGATATGTTTTTCAGGTTGTATGGCTCTTCAAGGCAAGGATCTCATTGACTCGGTTCAACAAAGAACAATTGAATCCTACAAAACAATTCTTCATATTAGTAAAGGATTGGATTTGGCAGATGGTATTATACTAAACAGCTTCATGGATTTGGAAAGAAAGATAATAACATCTCTGTAAGAAAATAAGAATAAATACCCTCCTATATATCCGTTGGGCCCTATTTTACAAAGTGAGTCAGCTGGCATAAACGAGACAGCTTCAAAGTGTTTAGAATGGTTAGACAATCAACCACCTAACTCTGTTCTGTATGTTTCTTTTGGGAGTGAAGGGACACTGTCACATGACCAGCTTAACGAGCTAGCCTTAGGGTTAGAGATGAGTGGCCACAAGTTCTTGTGGGCTGTGAGGGCTTCAAACGGGTTTGCTTATTCGGCTTATTTGAATGAACAAAAGGAGGACCCATTTGACTATTTGCCAAAAGGGTTTCTTGAGAGAATCAAAGATCAAGGCTTTGTGCTTCCATCATGGGCCCCACAAATTGAAGTGTTGAGGCACGGGTCAACTCGTGCGTTCTTGACTCACTGTGGCTGGAACTCTACACTTGAGTGTGTGTTCTATGGCAAGCCTATAATTGTGTGGCCATTGTTTGCAGAGCAAAGAATGAATGCAGTGATGCTAAGTGAGGAGTTGAAGATTGCTGTAAGGCCAAAAGAGAATGCAAATAATGATGGGATTATTGTGGAGAAGGAGGAGGTTTCTAGAATTGTAAAGAGTGTAATGGAAGGTGATGAAGGGAAAGAGATTAATAGAAGAATTCAAGTGTTTAAGGATGCTGCCGCTAAAGCGCTTGGAAAAGATGGTTCGTTTTCAAGAACACTCGCTAGTTTAGCAAATCAATGGAAAAATTCGAATGGCAAATAGAGAGATGAGAGCTTAGTTTCAATGTATATTTTATCATTATTTCGCTTAGTCGTGCATTTCTCTATCTTTAAAGTTTTTTTTATTTAAGTTTAACGTCATACGATGTTCTTATTTTTATTATTGTCAAAGTCAGGGGTCAGGGGATTCATTGCATATGACATTATACTACCCCTGGTCCTTAATATAACAGCTATTTGACTAATTTGAATAGATTAAAAAGTTTATTAAGTTAATTACTCTTCCAGTCCTAAATATAAGACCCTTATACTAGTGTGTAGAGTGTATAAGGGTCTTATATTTAAGACCGGAGGAGTATTTGTAATAATTAGGTGTTATCTTTCCTAGAATATTATTACTAATCATATGTATTAGCTAGGACTATTATTTGATGAAACTTTTAATACGTACAACTACTACAAGAACTATTTTTAAAAAAATAAATAAATATGAGAGACAAACTGCCTATTTGGTTGAGCAGTGAGAGCTTAAATAAACCTGTTTAAATCTAAATAAGTGATTATGAAGCAGGTTTATCCTGTTTAAGTAATTTTTATAAAATCCCGATAAAATGTGATTTCATTCTTTCACTGCACTTTTAGGATAAGTATCTAGGAGTAGCTTATGTGTTTGAAAAATCCTAATAAATTTTTATCAACTGAATTTTCTCTAATTTACCTTTCACACTCTTCCGAGCATCTCTTCCCAAATGATTATATTTAATAATATTTATTAAACTCATGTCTTTTGGTAATTATGCATCCATAAATGATTTTAATAAATGAAAACTAAACATAATCACAATTCTTAAAGTCACTTATAAAAGAAACATATCCAAACAAAAATCATGATTAACCAACATCACTTATAGCCACTGTCACTTATAAAATTTACCGTTATTTAAAATCACAGTTATTCACTGCTAATCCAAATGGGTACAAAGTGGATTGTGATTTTATATTTAGAAATGAATTGAATGTCAAACCAGCTCTTATATTAAAAACTGGAGATGGTAGATTGTACATTAATGGCCCTGAGGCTTGAGCTTCCCCTTACCCTAACCCTCAGTTTCCCTCCTCTGATGTGTCCCAACTAGGATGCTTCTAGCTTTAGAACCAACGGATTTAAAGGTTAATTTTTTAAAATCCTTTAAGTATTTTGTGTTTCTTTCAATATATATATATATATATATATATCTCATTACTAACCCCTGCACCTTTGTGAGAAACGAATTGCATACTATTCTTCATACATCTTTACTTAAGTTGTCTGAATCTTTTTGATACATTTCATATCTATATTTTAATTTTTTTAATTAAAAATATAGGATGAATTTAGAAAAATGATAGAAAAAGAAATTGAAAATTACAATATTATAATTCAGGCTGTCAAAATCCCAAGGGAGGAAGTGGTGCCTAATACAGTATTTTGCAAATATAGTTGAATGACAAAAATGACCTTGTATAAGATTTTTTTTTTAAAAAAAAGCTATCAAAGTTATAATTGCCAGTATATTTCTTTTTAATTGTTGTTTAATACTTGTCATTATTAATTCACAACTTCTTAACAAATAACTTATTATTGCTAATACATTTTTTGTCATTTGTTATTTAATGCTTGTTATTACCAGTTTAAAACTTATTAATAAACTTTTTGATATAATGATATTTTTATTATTTAACTACATTTGTAAAATACCAAATCAGGCATCACTTCCTTCTCTGGGATTTTGACCTCTTAAATGCTTGAATTAGAATATTGCAATTTTCAACTTCCATTTTTCCATAATTTTTTTGGAATTTTATAAGACAAAACGTCTACATTTCAAAAGATGAAGAATTATATGTATTTTATTTCTTGTGTTCTTCCAAATAAACAAATAAATAAAATTTATATTTATATTGTGAGAATCATGTGCGCGTGCACGCGCAAACATGTTCAAAAAGCATAAACATATCAGACAATATGTAATGTATGGGCCTTGCATTAATAAGGAACAAGAGGAAACAGTTATTGGGCCAACAGATGTTACTATTGGGCTTAAAGAGGGTGGGCTAATTTGGAGGGACTAGGGTATACAGTGGAGCAAGATGAAGGTATGGAGGCAGTGAAGAATATCGTCAAGCGATCTGCCTCTTTGGCGTCTATCCTTCTCCCTGTGACCGTCCTTTTCTTCTGCTTTCCTACTTACCTCTGAATTGCCTTTTCCTGCTGCGGTGTCCTTCTCTTCTACTGTTCTGGGCTTCATTATTATTATTTTGCTTGTAGTTCTGGAACCATATTACAGATATTGATGTCAATTTATGTAAGTTTTATCCATTAAGTTGCTATATTATAAAAAGTGATCATAACACAATGTGATCCATTTTTTTTTTTCCCCAGTCTGATGGCATACGATAAAATATATAGAAGCGTTGTTTCTCAGGTAAAAGTCTGTGATCTCATCTCGATGAAGAAAATATTTAAATCACAAGAGGTTTTGTACTGGCTGGTTTTCCACTAGCCATGCCTTTAATTTGAAACTCGATAAGATAAAGCTTAGAACAAGGTTACCAATCAATTTGCACAAAATAAGATGGCCCAAACATAAAAGCAGTCAGAATTTTCACTATATTGAGAGGGAAAAAAACATATTTGCAAAGATTTACATATAGGGTTGAGTTATTGGAAATGATTGAAAAGTAAAAACAAGATATAATAGCATGTAATACACAAAACTTAACGTGGAAAGACCCCTATATTATATGTCCAAAGAAAAAAACTAAAAGCAACGAGCCAAAAGTTGTACTATGAACAACAACCAATTAAATTACAATATAAATCCGTCATTTTTCTAATAACAGAAAAATATATATATATATATATATATATATATATATATCGAATGAGGAATCAAGGTTTGGATTCTTAATGGGAGATATCCCCAGATTTAATACCTAACAGTGTCTCAAACACGACTACCTCTAATAGAAGAATATCTATGCTTAGCAAAATATTGGCATCTCAGCTCCTTCATAGGTTTTAAGTAATTTGATTTCGTCCATTGTCTGAAGCTCTTGGCTTGCCCTTATAATAAGAATGTATAAAGTATCTTACAATCTTATAAAATGTTTTCTTGTATTGCAAAGCAAGCAAGTATTGAATATTTTTTTAACATTACTGTCGTCTATATCGCCACCAAATTTAATAATCAAAGCAAGAGAGAATATATCAAGTCCAACCGAAAAAAAAAAAAACAAAACAAAGAAAGAAAGTCATGGTAACGCACCAATTCGAGGCATACATTCCGATAAGATATACTTGTTGGCTAGCAATTGGAAACGAATATCTATCATATCTTCATCTGTTGAACATATA